TATTTTTCAGAAATTACTGATAGTATTAACAACTACTTATAACTAAAATAAGTAACATGATGTTTTGCAAAGACAAACACACGTTTGCTCAATCGACAAGCCGTATTGCAATCCACTTGATCAGGAAATAATAAACTTTTTTGTATGGGCTGACAGGTCTCTCTTTGGACAGCCTTTTCTAGCATGCTCATCTAGCAACGCAAAACTGGCTTAATGCTAAAACAAGATAAAGATGATATGATTCACACGGCCTGCTCCATTCATTGTACCCAGCTACAGGCACTCAAACAAAAGTCGTGTAAGAAGGCGGGAACTAGTCTGCCATCGCCCCACTTTAGGCCGGTCCAAGTGACGCCCGGCAGTGGTTGGATCTTCACGAGCCTGTTGGCCGAGGCGGCGCTACCGAGTCACTTCTTCTGCAACCCCCTCGAAGACCGGTTCATCTGGTGGCCGTCGCCGGGGCTCCTGTTCTCGCGAGCCGTCGGTCTGGCCGAGCCGTGTCTGACGGAGGCACTGGCCGGTCTGCTGGCCGATCCGGCGCATGCAGATGACCTGCCTCGGTTGGATACCGGCCTGTTGTCTCGCGAAGAGGTGACCTGTTGCGTTGCGCTGGGCAACCTGGTCTCGGAGGTGAGTGATCTCGACCGAGTGGTACCGCCGGGCGGCGTCGGCGATTGGACTCACCTCCACTGGACCCATGTCGTGTCGACCCTTCGAAGGGGTACTGTCCTCTGTCAGGCCGTCTGGCGCGGCCGACGCCAGCGCCGAGTCTACCGTAGCCGACTGGCTTGGCTGACGGACCGGCCTGTCTGTCTGCCGGCCTGTCTGCGGCTCCAGCGGGCCTGGCGGCGACGCGTGTGTCGGCGCCAGTTGAAGACGGCCTCCGGGATTCGAGCTCATCGCCAGCACGGCCTCGTTCGGTTGCAGGCCGCCTGGCGAGGCCGTCAGCTGCGCTGCGGACTCGTCGAGCTGCTGCTGCTGCCTCTGATGGCGACGGCCGCGTCGAGGCTGCGTCTCCTTCGACGTGTCGCACTGCAGCCGGTCTCGGCTCGATTCGCCGCCGCCAGCCTCGCACCCGAGGCCGACTGTCTGGCTCGTCTCGAGGTGCTTCGTCTTGGTCTGGCTCGACGAATGCTGCCTCGAGTCCGCCGTCGAGTCCACCATCGAGTCCCGGCACCGATGCTGATTGGCCGCGATCGCAGTCGCGTCTACTCCGGCCTCCTCTACCAACTCTACGCCAGACCCGATCTGCTCGCCGTCGCCGTCTCCACGTGCGCCGGCTGCGAGTCCGCGCCGGGAGCCGAGTTCTGGCGGCGTGACGTACTCGCGGAAACCCTGTTCGGCCCACAACCGCGCCTCACTCCACTCGGTCTCGCCCTCGAGCGAGTCTGTCTGGCCGTCTTCCGGTACGGCGCATGCCCAGCCGGCCGGGCTCGCCTCCACTTCTTGATCGCACGACTGATGCACGCCGATTTGGCCTTCCTGCGTCGCCAAACACACATCCGAAATCACACCCAACATCAAACCCAGCTTTACATCCAACATCAGGACCAGCATCATACCGAAAATCACACCCAACCTCAAATCAAGCATCACAAGAACCCTCAGGCCGACAGTGATGACGTCGACCTGCCCGACTTGACCAAACTGCCTCTGTTGATGTTCGCGCTTCGACTCGCCGTCAGTCTGGCCCGTCTCATTCAAGTCGGCGCCGGTCGAGACTGGCCGACCGTGGCAACAAGCGCCTGCGCCCCACCGACCGACTCTTCAAAG